AAAATCCTTGGAATTTAATGAATTATTATTCTTGTTTGTTAAGGAATTAATTGTTACTCCTGTAAATGAGATTTAATTAATATATATATTGAGAATTTTTACATTGGAAAGAATTTGATTATTTCCGCTGATTAAATAAATTATCGTAAATCCTGTAAATCATACTGATTTAAATATCTTAGTTTTATTTTAGTTATTATTATTGACCCATAGTGAGTGTCAAAGTCGGCCATCTCGTCTCTACCACTTCGAGATTAGGCTTGATACTTACTGGATACACGTTGTTTACGTACTCATACTACACTTACTGCACTTTTGTGCAGGATTTGAGACATGTACTTGTGGAGGACCTATCATCACATACCCATGTCATCCCGAGGCATAGTGGTGAGCTGCCTTTCTGAGCCGTTCTGCAGCTATCAGTGTCTCTTCTTATATTTATATTCTGTCTATTTCATTTCAGACAGTATTTGGAGTTTTGTATAATCTACTAGATGCTCATGCACTTGTGACACCGGGTCTTGGCACACACATATTGGTAGAATTTGGTATTTTATTATTTTCTTGGAATAAAAGTTTAACCAATGTACGTTTGACTTGTTAGTTGGCTTACCTAGCTGTAGTGTTGGGCGCCATCACGACCTATAGGTGAAATTGGGTCGTGACAGTATGTCATGTCTTCTTCTTCTTCTTCTTCTTCTTTTTCACCAGTGTCTCTTCTTATATTTATATTCTGTCTATTTCATTTCAGACAGTATTTGGAGTTTTGTATAATCTACTAGATGCTCATGCACTTGTGACACCGGGTCTTGGCACACACATATTGGTAGAATTTGGTATTTTATTATTTTCTTGGAATAAAAGTTTAACCAATGTACGTTTGACTTGTTAGTTGGCTTACCTAGCTGTAGTGTTGGGCGCCATCACGACCTATAGGTGAAATTGGGTCGTGACAGTATGTCATGTCTTCTTCTTCTTCTTCTTCTTCTTTTTCACCAGTGTCTCTTCTTATATTTATATTCTGTCTATTTCATTTCAGACAGTATTTGGAGTTTTGTATAATCTACTAGATGCTCATGCACTTGTGACACCGGGTCTTGGCACACACATATTGGTAGAATTTGGTATTTTATTATTTTCTTGGAATAAAAGTTTAACCAATGTACGTTTGACTTGTTAGTTGGCTTACCTAGCTGTAGTGTTGGGCGCCATCACGACCTATAGGTGAAATTGGGTCGTGACAGTATGTCATGTCTTCTTCTTCTTCTTCTTCTTCTTTTTCACCAGTGTCTCTTCTTATATTTATATTCTGTCTATTTCATTTCAGACAGTATTTGGAGTTTTGTATAATCTACTAGATGCTCATGCACTTGTGACACCGGGTCTTGGCACACACATATTGGTAGAATTTGGTATTTTATTATTTTCTTGGAATAAAAGTTTAACCAATGTACGTTTGACTTGTTAGTTGGCTTACCTAGCTGTAGTGTTGGGCGCCATCACGACCTATAGGTGAAATTGGGTCGTGACAGTATGTCATGTCTTCTTCTTCTTCTTCTTCTTCTTTTTCTTCGAGTTGCAATCTGAAATTCAGCCAAAACCAAGTCTAATCTTCACCAAAATACCCTCAAAATTGAGATATAAACTCCAAACAATATTCTCAATTGTTTGCAACACCCAATCCAAACAAATAATGATGTTTGAAAACCCAAATTCGAATTCAAAGCTTTTTAATGGTTGTTAATGGTGGAGAGTCAAACATCTTCAAAATTTATTGATTGACAATTTCAATTTGAATACCAATTGTGCAATATTACTGGAATTTGAACACCAATTGTGCAACACCTTCAGCTCTACATTACTGGAATTTCAATAAGCATGGAATTGTTGCTCTCTTTCCCTTTGCTCTACATTATTGGAATTAGGGATTCAGAGATAGAGAGGCGTAGAGAGAGAGAGAAAGAGCGCATGAGAGAGAGAGAGAGACGGAGAGAGGGAGAGCGCAGGAGGGAGAGAGAATAAGGATATGAAATAATTGATTCATAATATAAAGAGATACTCATTTAATTCCTAAAAATGTACATAATTGGTAAATTTGTATATAGTATGTAATTAGATTGAAACTTGAGTAGGGAGGGTAATAAAATTTCAAATATTGTATAGGAATGTAAAAATTTCAAAAAGATATAACCGAAATACTAATAGTGATCCACGCGTAATTTTACTTTACTTACTGTCTAATCTCCAAATCAGTTTTAATTTTAAAATACAACAACAAACCAGTTTTAATTTTAAAATTTACGGATTAAAGTTTCAGTCTAATGGTTGCATTAGAGTTACAATCTAATAGTTACGACTCTATAATTTCTATTATGTATTTCAAGTGATGCAGGACGCCGATCCTACAAAATGAAATTGTTTCCTTTTTTTCTACTTCCTAACATTCTCGCTTAATCCAAAAATGATAAAAAGAACATACTTGAATTTGGATTTCGCCTAAGCCTTTACTCTAACGATAAAAGTGCAACACATAATGTGTGATTTAGACATACACTAGGATTCGAATTTTATTACAGATAAAATCTTACTAACATTTAAGTAGAACAATTTTATTGCTAATATTTTCTTTTCTTCTTCATTTCCTCCTTTCCATTTTGTCTTCCCCCCCCCCCCCCCCCCCCCC